CGGACCAGGTTGAGGATCACACCCCCTGCCTCACCTACAAGGTGTTTTATGGTTGAGTGTCTAGCGTGTAGTCAGATCCACATCAACGCGACCAACACCTAAATAACATAAATAATATAAAACAGTCAATCCGTTAACGATGAAACCCCGAAGCCATTTGCTCCTTGCTCAAGAAGTCATTCCATCTGTAACGATGCTTGAAACAGTTTATTTATGATTCATTTGTAGTCCTAACGTATTCCGTTGCACTTCCTTGGTTCGACCGCAGGTCTTCCTCTGAAATTCTAAAGCTTTCTCGTTCACTACCCTCCTATTCTCCGAACTCGTTTCCGCGCATTGTCTCCCGAGCCGATATTTTCACCTCCAGTTCTGTGTCTTTTTTAATGTTCTTCATATGACAATCGTTTACATTAATGTGGTCTCCATATCAGATCACTCTCAGTACTGCATTACATAGCCTTGTCCGCCTTGTGTTTCTTTTTCACAGCAATGTACGGTTACAATGTCTTTTGTACCCGTTTGAAAATTACGTTCCTACCCTGTCTGTACATTTAATCTTTGTTCGGACCGTCATTTTTTCACATTGTTGTACATTTGATCATGCGCACTAGCATGCCTCACGGGCTTCGTGAAATATACCATTATTATTATTATTATTACTGCACCAATAATGCTGTCACTGGCATCCATGTCCAGGATGAATTCACCGCCTCTGTGGCTTAGATCCGGCAGTGCCAAGATGAGTGCAGTAAATAGAGCGTTTTTCAAGGTAATGAAAGCATTTTAGCATTCTGTCGTCCATTTAAATGTGGTTCCTTTTTGTAGTAGTTGTGAGAGTGGAGAGGCAATCCCGGGGATGCGAGGGACAAAGCGCCGGTAGTATGATGCTAGGCCCATAAAACTGCGGAGCTGTGATTCGTTAAAAGGCCGCGGCCAGGTTTTACTGTGTCTACTTTTTTCTTGTCGGTCTGAATGCCATCAGCTGAAATGACGTGGCCTAAAAACTGAATTTCTTTTCTGAAAAGGTTACATTTCCCGGGTGTCAACTTCAGGCCAACCTTACGGAAGCAGTCAAATATGGCCTTCAAGTTCTCCAAATGTTCTTCCTCCGTTCTCCCATGTACTACCACATGATCAAGATACATGAGGTACTTGTGTGGGACAAAGTATCTTAATACTGACGACATCAACCGGTGAAATGTGGCCGGGCGTTCCTCAGACCGTCATACATTGTTTGGANTTTGGAACTCTTATAGCCCATTTGGAACGACGAACGCGGTTTTCTCCCTGTCCCTTTCTTCCAGCTCCACTTGCCAGTATCCTGATGCTAGGTTAAGCGTTAAAAACATGCTTTGCTCTTGAAAGGGCGTCAAAAATATTTTCCATAACTGGTAACGGGAAACGGTCTTTCTTAGTCGCCTCATTTAGCTTTCTGTAGTCTACGTACAACCTGAGTCTACCACCCTTCTTTTTAACAAGCACTATTGTTGCGGCCCATGGGG